TATTTTATGTTGTCATATTGGATACATTGATAAGATTATATTATTATTATACGTGCGATAAGATTTGCTACTTTCTTCAAGTACGCGTTAACAACACTATTATATCCTGTATCCCTTAATCCAGTCTCAATATTATATATATATATATATATATATATATATATATATATATATATATATATGTATATATATATATATTTGCGATAAAAATATACATCTAGAGATTACAGCACAAGTTGTATACGCTGAATGCACGTCGCGGCATTATCGTATGTAGGTACATACAATAGTGGGCGTTGGCCTTGGATCAGCTGTTTGCTTCCAATGTCAACGAGTATTACTAGGCCGCGGGTGAGACTCGCAAGGCATTTGGTATACGTATATATAGTATACACACGCGCATACGAATCTCGCATGAGAACGCGCCTTTACGTACATGACATACGTTCTGCGGCTGTAACTTGTACGTGCACCGCAAAGCGAACCTGCAACCAGTCATTCTAGTTATTCATGACTATTAAGATTGAGCTGTCCATCTTCTTACAGTACGTATACATGCGGATTACAGTAAAGATAGCATTTTTGATTACAGATAATAGTATCTGATGATCTTATCATAATTGACTGATCGTGATTATTTTTCTTATTTAGTATGTATGGTATATGTATTGGTATATCGATTTTTATATGTCCTCATTATCTTTATGTTATTTTAGTTTAATGTTTAATCGCATTATTGCTTTTGTTATGACAGTACAGAGAGTGCACGAGAACTCTCGTGCGATATACTCAGCTCTTAACTTCTTGAGCGTGACTAACGCGTATATGGAGAAATCCTAAAAATGGCCAGGAGTGTCACATGTCGATAAAAGCTCATCGTAAAAAAAAAAAAAAAACCGATATTTTTAAGCCATATCGATTTTCTTAAAACTTGGTGTCTTCGGGTTTTTAAAGGTGCCGAGTGCGAAACTGGCGTTAGTTTTTCAAAATTCAAAACGGTGGTATCCAATACGGTAAATAAAAATTATCAGATTTTTATGTTTGGATTCTTCAATAACTATATCTTTTTTTTTTTACTCTAACGCACGTTAATTGCAATAACAACACAGAACGTGGCCCCCGGAAGAAATCGGAAAATTTGTGTGCTTTTGAATATTTTATGCATTTAGAATTTTTATAATGTGAAATCCGATTTGATTTCAACGAGCTTAAAGACTTTGAGACGTCAAGTTTCGTGAAAATTTGATAATCTTCATTCTTTGCGACATTCCCGGTCAGATTCTTCTATTTTAATTTGACACTCGAGGGATGAACCTTCGACGCGAATCTTTCGTGTTCATTGATCTTCGTATCGGTAATTTCGTATCGGTATCTTTTGAATGGATAAGAGAGAGATAGCGAGATAAATGTTCAACAGGTGCGCAGATTTTCGATTTGCCTGTACGCGAGTCTGGCATTACGTGGATAATGCAGAAAGAAATATAATACAAGAGAAAAGATTTCGACTGCTTCGATAACTTCGTGCCATCAGATAGTCTTATCTGTGGTGCGTCCAGCTTGCTTTAATTAAAAGTTTCTTACGTCATGCGTGTTGTAGTCAAGTATGGTAAACAAGATTTGCGCCATTATTTTGGACCTCGGCCAACTCTCTACGACTAGCGCGTATAGGAAGCAGTATACGCGGTGTTCGTAGAATTCGACAATTTTCAAGAAAATATTTTTCTATTCCTATTTCTTTTTTTTCTCTAAACCTAACGAGGCCTTTTCTCGAGCCAGCCGCTTAGTTTATGCGGAATATTATACGAAAACTTCCTGCTATCTGTTTCTATAGACATTCACGTGGTAATCTAGTTTATCGTCGAGTTATCGAAAATGCACTATCGATCAACGAAGGTACAACTGATTAAGTCGAGTACACTGTACCTTTTAATCAAGTGAAATGACTTGCTGTTGATATACGTCTTTTCCTTCTTTTTTTTTTTCGTTTTCTTTTTCTCCCTCTGGAAAACGTTGTGTCCCGTAATGCGGTGACAATGTCAAGTCATTTTCAAAGCTTTGTAACTGACCACGTGACGACGCGCTCCATTTATTCGAATTTATCGTGTATCTGGCACGGACACTGTATTGCACGTTATTGCTGTATTGTATCCGTATTGCTTTTTCAGCGCCGTTTGGCTCAAACGCACCGGTTGGATTTGACAACTGCCATACAATCGATTTGGCTAAATGGTATGTAGCGACCTTGCGCAGGAAAAATTGTGTACGTTTCCAATCTCAATTAGAGAATTGCATAAGCGTACAGACGCAATCGATCCTTGCTGTTGGCGAGTGTGCTTAATCACTATTCATCTGAGAAGGAATATATTTTTTATTGGATAATCGAACGCAGAGACTGTTCGAATCGAATTTACAATAAGATTTAAAAATAATCGTTTTGACAACCAGAGAGTTGCTATGACCGATTGAAAGCAACCGGAAACAGTACCGGAGACGGCATTGGGAATAACATGGAAAAATATATGACGTCTTGGACACATTTTTCCTATACTGTTATTCAAATATCTAAAACCCATAGAAAATGATTGTATAATAGTAGATTGTTAGTACAGCGAAATCGAAGAAGGGTATCAGCTGTGATTAGGGTTTTCGATATATCTGTCTCTCGCTGACACACGTAAACCTCCATAAGTCCGTCTTTCTCGCACTCACGGGCGACATAGAAAAAGAGGAAAAAACGTTAGATTTAAATTAATGAACCCCTTCTCTATAATATGTCTATCGAAGAATATCTTCAATAACGAACCTTGAATGTAGATTCCCTGTAACCGTCGAGAATTTCAATATTTACAAACGTCACAATAAAGTACTGTCGTGACAGCTGTAAAATCCAAACGGTGCCATTCAACTGGATAGTTCTATATATCCACACCCATAGTATACTTAGACAACAACTAGAATAGGTTTTCCATATGCACCCTTATACAGAAACGGTCTAAGGGTGAACGTACTCTGCCGATTCGATCGATAAACGCGGCAGTTCGCCTGCAAAGGGATTCACGAAAACGTGCGCGCTGCACGCACCTTCTTGGAAAGTGGGTACGTGCACAGCGTAGCATTGGCAATACGCTTCATTCGAAAGTGAACGGAAAAGCACGAGCCGATACGATCGTGTCCGAAGTTCATCGCATACTATAGGATTATACTTGGTCTAGTATAGTATATCGATCTGATACGAGCGGCGTCAACTAGCAGCATTTGTCGCATTCTTCCTGCTCTCTTCTTCGCCTAGCGTGGCTATAATGGCTAGAGTGGCTAGAGTGGCTAGAGTGGCACACCGCCGCATACATTTGACTGCGTCTCCACGGTCATGAAATAGAGGGCGAACTTACCGCATTGCGCCAATAGTCCAACGTACGTGTGCATATATCGTTATACAAACAGAGCGTCTCGCTCGCTGAACTATAGCATATGGATTCTTTCGTCATTACTATAATAAGCCGCGTGAAGCATCCTTTCGGCTTGGCTCGCCATATTGTTTCACCAGGTGCATCGGTAACGTATGTATTAGACGCGTGTGATCCTTAATCGACGCTGGAAAAATCTTGCGGTTGCATCGGATCGGTGACTGGGCATTTATAAGGAATTAATGGAAAGCAATTATATTGTTGGTAATTCTTAAGCCTCAAGGCTCCTTCGACACTGGATTTCGTCCTATCGACACTTTGGACAATTAGATCCGGCTTTTTGAACAATTTCGTACATTGACCACGTTCACGGCACAAGGAGTTGCTCTCGCAACACGTTCGCTGTTTCTCTTTTGACGATCGTACAAAATGGTGGAACCTCATCTGCGAGGTATACGAAGCATATTTTTTTTTCGCGAAAAAACTAGTCGCTGGGTGTACTTGAACGCGAACCAGAAATTGTTAGACTTTTTCGGCGCAGTGCGTCCCCAGTAACGGCACATGGCCACTTCTGAACATGGAACTAATAAAAGTTTTAGGGTCACCAAAACAAAAAGTTACGTCACTCATGGAGTCCCGCGTCAGAGCAATGGCCGGTAACGTCGAGACGATCGTACACGAGGAATCCTAATGACGTAGTTCCAGAAAGAGTCGCTCTGGGACCTTCGTGTTGCCAATGTTGACGTACGAGGGAAGGATGAAAAAAAGTGTTAGCGGAAGTCTTTGTCGTTGGTCCAGTGAAACCTGGGTTCTTGGGAACGTTTATTTTCGCAGCTTTAAAGGTTAGGCCAGAGCTACATAAAAGAAGCTACAGTTTCTCTGGCGTGCAATGAATAGCTGATGAGTCTTGGTACACCCTGTGCCGATTATGCGAAAAAGAGTTTCTTCAACCTGAGTAATAAATATTGCACACAAAGGATCCTGATGAGCGTACAGGGAATCTCCATTTCTGAAATATATAAAATCACAGCCTTTTCACCGGTTTGACTCAGCTTCAGCAAGCCAATCTATTTCATTGAATGTTTTCGAAGTCGACATCTCCACGCCGTCCGTGTTCTATCCATTCGTACGTTGTACTCGCAGCAAGCGGAATTGCCGTTAGAAGTTAGCTCTTGTATTATTCCAGCAAACGATTCGCCTGGATACTGTTTACGATTGCAAGATCGATAACGTAACGGAATATCCTAACCTCACTAGTCGGAATCACCGAATTCAATAGGTTATCCGTGAAACGACGTAATTCCTGGCATTGGCCTCCATTCCTTTCAGGCAGTCCTTCATGCTAGTAATCATCTTCCGTATCTTCGCATGGGTTCCGCTAACGCTCTGTGACTTACAATTGGCCATCATTAAACCTTATGAAAAGGGACCTGGTACTCGTTAAAGTGACACGAAAGAGCTAGGTACAAAGTTGGAATGAATTTGATCCCAATTAGAGTGTTGGGAGTTTAGGATTCATAAAGCTTACGTTGTCTCCTGTTTTATATGAAAGAATAATTTTGTTAATAATAAAATGTTTTTTTTCCTTCCTTTCAGGATTCATAGATGGAGAGTGCCGATAATAAGAAGCTGACCGATGAGTGCAACCAGCAAAGCGACAACCGGCTCCTCTTCGAGATGCGGAGCGTGGACGCTGCTCAGGATATCAGGGAGGAGAATATGAAGAACGAGGATCATAAGGACTCCAAGGATACGAAAATGAGTACGGCTGACAGCAAGGAGAGCATCGAGGGTACCAAGCTCGCGAAGAAGATGTCGGAGGATCTTGATGAGGACGAGGGCAAGGGCTCGGACGAGGAGGAGAGCAAAGAGAAACCGGATGAGAAACGTGACGATGAGTCCTCGACCACCACTTCCTCTACCACCACTTCGGATGACGAGTCTGACACGACTTCCGAGGAGAAGACGGAACCGTCGAAACCTGAAGTTGCTCCTCAGCCAATCGAGACCAAAGAAGAGCCGAAGAACGAGGATACCACCGATGACAGTGATATCGAGGATGACCTCATATCCGCTATTAATTACAACACCATTACCTCCCTGGCAGCCCTGAAGGATATGCTGCAATGCTCCGGCGAGGACTCAGAGGGCGTCGATAGCTTCTTCCATCATTATTTTCTATCTCATGTCAATCGGCTGCCATCCAGAAATCAGACACACAGTCCTTATCCCTGGGGCAGGCGACTATCGGAATGCCGCGAAGAGGACGAATACGAGACTGAAGAGGGTATGCTCTTTTTTTCTTCCTTCACTTTTCTCTTAACTCACTCGTTATAACATCCTTGTAACATCTTATACGTTATAACATCCATAACCTAAAATACGAAAAAAAAAAAAAAAAAAAAGTCAGGAATGCCGCGAAGAGGACGAATACGAGACTGAAGAGGGTATGCTCTTTTTTTCTTCCTTCACTTTTCTCTTAACTCACTCGTTATAACATCCTTGTAACATCTTATACGTTATAACATCCATAACCTAAAATACGAAAAAAAAAAAAAAAAAAAGTCATAGAAACATGAAAGTACACGTGAATTCGAGACGTTTTTAACGATGAAAGTATATATACCTATATTATTTCGTTTTGATTAGCCATTTGATGAAAATCAGTCCACCTTAGGTCGGCCGGATACTGTACTTAAAACTTCAGGTTTCGTAAATTGTGAGTCCTTCACATGCTATGAGTTCCGTGCTACCCAGATCAATGTATATTTTTACATGCAACCTCCTCTTTATTCCATTATGGCTCGAAAAAGAATTGCGCAACAGGATATAAGTCTTTTATCGAGTTGTTTTTTTCTGCGGGGGTGTTAGCTCGAAGGAGGTCTCATTATACCCTGGGGAGAATCAATTTGCGAGACGAACAAACTCTGATTTTCGGCTAATGGAAATTTTACCTTGCTGGTAGATGATAGCTGTGTTATTTCCAAAAAAAGAGGTCTCCGTGAACATGGTATCTTAAATTGATTAAAAAAACGTGACAAGTCCCATTTCCATCCACAGTTAATTTACAATTATTTGTAAGTCCTAACAAGGGTGACGTTGACTAACGCATGAAAATTGTAATGGAAAAAAAATGTAGCTTCAAGTTTTTGCAGCATCAAATTTTTCTCAATACTTCTGAGCATAAAGCGAAATGCTTTTTTACAGAGGCGAAGTACTGTATAACCATAGATTTCTGTTCGTTAATGTAGCTTGCGGTAATTGTATATGCACTCAGCGAAAAAAAAAAAACATTTATCATTACGTAGGTAGACACTCGTACAGGCACTACTGGTTTTACTATGCAATGTCTGAATATACAAAACGTGCCATGGACAATGGTGACGGTCGATATTGTTGACGAATTTTCAATGTTTCCATCAAGATTGTCCTGGCCTTCTAACACGATTTTTTAAAAATATTTTCGCAACTCAAATTGATCTTACGTAGTTTACTCGTGTATTTTTTTTCTCTACGATTTATCGATTCGCCGCGCCCTGTAACTTCGTCCGAAGGCTCCGTCCTGACTGTAGCGGAATTGGGACAGTAACTTCAGTACGAAACAACCTAATGAAAGTAGTAGATCCGACAACGTCCATGGTACTGTTTGATACGAGAATTCTATTCCATAAAAATGTACGTAGGGGTTGAACGAATTATTTGTGAAATTAATATGTATCTCGTACGTAATGTAATATGGATCGAAAATCAGCTGCGATATCATTCAGACACCTGAATTTCACATGCACTGAATTTCGAAATAGCAGTTCCGACATTAAACCTACGCTATGCAGGATGCTATTACGAATATATGTGCAATGGATCTAAGATTAGCTTACGCGCCCAGTGGTTTAGCTTCGGTTGGCAACAGTCGAATATGCGTGCAAAGTCACTCCACTTGGCTAATAATTTTCTATTTATAACTTTGATTCGCGACAAATGGAGTCGCGGCCAATTGGTTTGATAGCGGATGTCGAACCTTCGAGCGGAAGCTGAGGCGTTGCTCATTAGATTTTTCTGTAGGTTACGCGATATTGTATGGAATTAAAATTTTGATGGGAATAGTTGGGACTTTTATTTGAATTTAATAGCAATTCGACTCCTCTTGGCGAAATGACGAATTATTTTCTTATATCTCTACCGACAGCCCTGATTTTCATACCGCGATCTGTCGGAACGTTGGAGTATCTGGCCTTGGTGCGTAATCGAGTGTCAATTTCAGGCGGGTGGGAACAAGGAGTCCTTTGAATGCGATTGAGGCGATGAACGCGTACGCGGAGAGTCAAGAGTACCGGAATCTCGACCTTAAAGAGGAATGGAAGTTTCCGCGTGACGGACCTAGAAGCCTCCTGGCATCCATCTCGCTTTCAACGATTTTATCTCAATCTTTTCTTTTTCTTTTCTCTAACTTTTTATCCTCGTTCTATCGTTCCCTCCTCTCGCCCTTCGTTCCCCTTCACCGACCGCGTCTTTGACGAGTCAGGAAATTAAATTTTTACTTGGAACGACAGCTGGCGGCAGACTTATCAGACGGCGAATTTAATTTCTGCATTAGTCTTCTTTCATATTTATTTCATTACCTCTGCGCCATCGAGTAATCCTGAAAAGCCTCTCATTAGAGATATTCATGATTTCAGGTAAAAACGTGGAGAGCACTACAGCTGATACGAGCGTCGAGATTAAAAAGGAAGCAGTCAGCGCACAGGAGTCCCAGGAGAAGTCGGACAACGTGCCTTCGAAAGCCTCGAGTCCTTCGTCCTCCGAAAAATCAAGTTCTGAAAAGATTGATCAAAAGTCAGCAGCGTCGGAGCCCCGAGCTCCTCCGACTACGACTGCGTCTCGTTTCACTACGTCAACAGTAACATCGCCAACCTCCACCAAGCCGCCTCTACGTAGGAGACACACTGCTGGATCTGGAATGACATTTCCAGCCACGGATCCGCCCACCTACTCGAGCAGTATGACCTTCTCCAGGACGAGTCCTCTACCCAGCCCACACTTGGACAAGAGATTCTTCGATTCCAGTCTCATTGAAATGAAGAGTCAAGCCAGTAGCACGAGTACCCTCGACTACGATTCCACTGATGAGATCTGGATACGCCGAGTGGACTTTGTCCAGGAACGTAAACGAAGGGTGAGTCTCCAAGGAGGATAATCGGGACTTTGAACGATTCAAGAATACGGAGTGTACAAGGAATATGAAAAATTGGCTCCTATTAAGAGAATCTTATTGGCACTTGGCCGGGTGCTACGAGTAAGGGAGCATCATTCAGCGTTGCCAACTTAAAGAAATTCAGCGTAACGTTAGAGAAGAGTGACAAGCGTGGTTCAGTTTTCTTTAGAACTTTTATAAATATTGCAAATGACAGTCCCTGAGACGTAACGTCCACGTAACGGGTCTTGTTAGGAAGTTCAAGATTGATTAAGCAACTCCAAAGTTAATTGGGATCCGGTAGCGAAGACCCGAGTCATGGGGTACCTTGGAACTCGTTAGAGTCACTACCTTAGAGAATCATAGCTAGTAAATGTATATATATATAGTAAGGTCCGTCGATAACGAAATCTAGGAAACCAGCTTGTGCGCTATATAGAAACATAGTGATAATTAAACCGCTACAGCTGAACGTTCTCCAGGCTCGTCCTAGTCCAGGAACGCAATTCATTATTGCTGACTACATCTCGTCGCGGTCCCGTGATCTCGGGTTCACGTCCCGGATCGGATGGTTGTTATTGCTGCGATGCATGAGTATGCGCCTTAAGCAGCCGACCTCTCATAGAGAACTCCATCTGGTCATAGCTCTCATTGATTTGGTATTACACCCCCGTGGGAGTCTTCGTTAGCCGTTCCTCGTCCTCCTTTTCCGTTAACGTCTCGAAGGCACGTCTGATTGCATTAATCAACAGATTCCTCGAGTAAATTTGTTTACCAGTCCCGCATGCCACTTTTACATGTAATTCATGCTTCCTTTCAGATCCTTCTTACCACTACACTCTCCATCTACGAGATCACGACCACCTACTCCTCCTCCACCTACTCCACCACCTCCGCATCATCCAGTCCGAACTCTTGCGAAACGAGGTCGCCAAACCCGGCTGTGCGTAGCGAGTCGCGAATTCATCGCAAACAGGAGGAACGCTCGACCTCCAATGTGCGAAAGCGGCCATCATGTATTTTTATACGCTGGGTGAATTTGTCAGGTGCAATTTTTAAGGAACGTTGGTAACCTTCCAGGACCATTTCATAACACGTAACAGACACATCAGTTACGAGCAAATGTTCTTATTCTGTCGGACAGTCGTCGGTTCTGAGGTCAATATGATTTAATAACTTCAAAATAGATGACATTAATTGGAAAGAAAGAAAAAAAAAGTAATATATCAAATTGCTCAGGATTTCGCAAACTACTCGCGTAGGCGAGCACGAGAACTGACGTCGTTACGCGTTACAAATGAGGTGTGGCCAATGCCGTAATTATTCAGAGGATTATCAACGCTTCGAAGAATCACACTGTCAGCTTCCTAACTTCCACATCGAAGCTATCGATCCGCATCGGCAAATAATTTAATTCGTTCACACTCGCTACCTTCCGACTTTAAACTCGTCCAAACTTTACCGTAACATCGAACTTCCTAGCCTGACTATACCGCCCCGTATGGATTAAGTGAGAGCACGAGCCAATTGAGTTAGTTAGCTAATACTCCCGTATTAGGTACGTACTGCGTATCCACCTAGCGTGCAAGTACGTGAGACGCGATGGTCCTAGTTCTCCTCTGTATCAAAATATTCAACTGTTCATTGTCGTGGCTGGTTTTCTTAACGTAAATCGAATACTAAACCACGTCACCATACTGCGGTATAGGAGTGATCCTAGAATGTCCTAAATTATTTTCATGGTGATTGCCAGATTAATTGCGAGATACGAAGTCGTTGTTTATGAAATTTGTGTGCTGGTTACTGTAGAATTATTAGATTTATTAATAGCAAAAAATGATTCGATGTAAATACACACGGTACTCGTAACGCACTGTTGCTTTTACACGATGACACTAATCTTGTCATTAAAATTTATCGTTACTTTCGCGACTCTCTTAATACTCGGTGGTACTGCTTCTCAATGATATTCTATTAAAGATACGCTCGAGTCTGTTATTACTTGTCAGGCAACTCGCGTAACACGTTTCTACGATAAATACCGTTATCTGGTATACGTGGTGAATTTTTTACGCGTTCACATAGTTACCTGCACGTGCCTTTAGGAAGAATTACATAACAACAGGATCCTCCATTCTATCGATGAACATGGAGTCTATGTCTCATGAAATTTTCACTGCTTTCGTCGTTGCTTCGGTTTTGATCCCACGACAATTTATATATTGTCGTTTCACATTACTTTCTATGGGATGACAGTGCAAAGATAAAAATTAATACAGTTAATACGTGCAATTTAGATAATCGCCTAGAAATAGTAATCGACTCAGAACCGTAGGTAAAAGTCCGTGCGTTTACTTTGTAGTAATGTTGAACTCTGGTATTTTAGCCAAAATTACTTACGTGGATTAATGGGTATATTTACTTTCTGGTTATATCCTTGGAATAGAGTGTACCGGTGTCAGTCCCGCAAAGATTCGCCTGTCGGGATTCCACAGGGAGGCCACGTTGGAGCCTCTTACCTCTTGCACATCGTAAGCACGAACTTCCGTAAACAAGAAGGTAACGCTCCTTGCCAAGCGTGACCGTTATAGAGCGATAAGCGCGATTATAAAAGGAATAAGGGGGTTGAATTTCACGTGGCACGATTTTAGTGTTATTGGTTGTTTTATCTAGTTTGTTGCAGTGTATAGTAACTTTACTTTGCGCGTATAACGTATGCCTACGTAAGAGTCGTTTGACAACGCTTCTTTTTTCTTGCAACTTTTGTTCCTATCGTTTCTTCTTCCCTTGGCACACGTCCAATGCTCCTCTTATACCTCGAAAACTTTGATTTCATTGGTCTTCGGAATGGAATTTTGGATTCCTATACGATCCATAAGGACTCGTTTACTTTCATGGCACGCCTTTAATCAATATATATATGTATGTGCAAGCGTTGAGAGAAGTTTGCGATGTTCATTCTTTATTTTGGAGTCGACAGTCGCTAGTTTTGGGTATATGTATGTGATATATGGGAAATTAGGATAAGAAGTCTACGAACGGATAGAGGATTGTGGATTTAGGTTAGATTGCGTACTTGCAGAACTATGTCGTGCGTCTTGTTAACCTAAAATTAGTGTCCTAATCCCTTTGGAGTGTTCTGATAAGAATGCAAGCCCCGTCGCGTGCATAATTTTTGTTCTTACACTGGCAGAATGACTATCGTGTAAATCGCAGTAAAATCAATAATGGCAGACGTTCCATTTTTATTCGTAGTGAAGTTGCAGCTAGTGTACCAACATTATAGAACGCTGAATACGTCGTGCCCATTTTGAAGTTTTAAATTTGTCCAGTTTTACATGGCGGCAGGTAGGACAATCTCTCGCATGAACACTGACGTTAGGTTTAAGCTCTATCGATTATTTACGGTATGTTGAGAGCCACGTGCTTCTCATCCTGTCACCTTTCTACATTATCGGCTTAGTACTTGCACTATCCGTTTCAGCGTGTTTCCAAGAGATGGCGCTACCATCGCGATAAGCTTTTGCCATCTTGCGGAATAATCGTGAACTACGAACCGAAATTCAGTTCTTCGGGACTAAACGATTCTCACTCACTTTATATACGTTATACTTTTTTCGTCTTGAAGCTCTTCTCTTCTACCTTTGAAATGGCAGCGTTATTCTTGAACTCTATTATCTTTCGTATCGCAACTCACCATTGAGGACTAATTAAAAATGTCCTATCTATGAATTTTTATCGTGTTATCAGTCATGTCTATTCTAAGAATCTCGCACCGATGACATTTACATTACTCCTGAGTGCAGGTTTGCTTATTTAATTAACAATTAGTACTGATAACACTCGTGCTTATTCTCTATGGCGCTATTATTTATTAATACGCGAAAACGATAGGGCTCGTCTTGGAAAAATCAGCTTTATCAAGCTCGAGATTTAGGATCCTCGACATTTCACAAACTACCAATGGTATGAAATATTGCTAATATTTTCGCGTTAAATTAAGATAGTGTTGTGCACTTTACTGATGCCCATGATTTCAGGCGTTAACTGATTTCCACGAAAAGTCGATGGGCCAAATGCCAAGTGACGCCCAATCGTCGGATTCTGCTAACGGGACGTGTTCTTCACCTGGTTCCTCCTCCTCGTTTAACTTGAAACTAGGTACCCGCACTCAAGGCAATGTTACCCGTAATCTCAATCTTATAATACGATCAAACTGATTTGGCTTTCGCAGCAACTGATATCATTCGACGAAGACTGATCGGCGTATACAGCTATGTATATAAACGTTCGCGTGTGCATATCGAAATGAATGACTTCCTTTAATCTGATAATTTATTACGATACCTCACCTTTACGGGAATTCGTAACGTCTCAGTCAGTACCGAGACGTCGATCGGTGTAGATCGATTTCGATTATCGCGACCTTAACTAAAACAGTCATGACAACCATATTAAGAACGAGTCGAATCAGAAAGTATTCTTTGATACCGCAACTAGATCGTTGTCCCGAGCATGAAATTTACAAGGTTAGATATAATTACAATTTTTTTCTCCAAAAATAAATAGAAATTAATATACGCCAAGAAAAAAAAAGTAAAAAATTCTGTAACGTGTAAAGCAAAATTTGTGGAGTTTTCAAAAGTAACCCGAGTGACATTTTTTTATTTAATAATTTTATTTAAAAAGCGACATGGTACTTCAACGTGTGCAGAACGTCTTGGCGGTGTGGTTTGTTTGCTCCGGAATCGAATAAATTTTCGTAGTGTCCTCGGAGTCGTGAGTTTGGCGCCATTGGTTTCGTAATTCAAAGTAAAAAAAGAATATATCCCATGGAATATATCCGGGCGTTCCATCTTACTGCTGAATTCATTCGGTTGTTTTATATCCAGTAATAATCGCTTGAGATATTTTATATTACGATACTTTTTGAGCTTTTATAGTTTTATTGTGTCGTACAAATAGCTTTGAGCTGCTGACGT